CCAGTACTTCCGACCTGAAGGAAGTCTTTCCAACACAAGACTGCCCGAATGAGCAGAATCAATTGTTAAGGGGGGAACATCATCTCGGGCTCCAGAAGTACAGCTATCTGGAGCAACTTCATCAGTTATGTCATTGCTAGAGCATTCTCTTGGTGCCCAATCTGGGATATATGACCGAATTTCAGAATCAATCATTGCTGCTATTGCTGAAACATCCTGATCTGTCAGGTCCAGCTCTTCAACCATTTCACTAGCAACGGCATTTGCCGTATCAACTTGAATATCAAAGGGGAAGTGAATGTTCCTAATATGACCTGATACCACAGTTCAACCGTTATACAACCTAATTAAGGGAAGCATCTTAAGCTTGATAAAGAAACAATGAGCATGAGCAAATAGTAACCTGTTGAATCAGTTATTCGCAGTTTAAGAAATATTGTATTTAGGTCCTTCCTTTGCCCCTGCACCGTGAAATCTCTACCTCCCTCGGGCAAAGGGTCCTTAGTACTTTTTCCATTATCAGACTGATCATCCCTCATTTCTGTAACAATCTCACGGAAGTCAATAATATTAGCAGACATTTAAGGAAGTGTGCGATCAGATGATTACCTGCATGTCTGGAATTGGAGCTCAAAGATCGACCTACATTTCCAGAATCCTCATCTGAAAGGAGAAAGGGGTCCATCAATAGTTCCTTAGCAGGCAACCGATCAGAAGCTTTCGCGATACATTTATCTATAAAGGCTTTAACTCCTGGATCCTTCACTTTTGCCAATGAGGCAGGCTTAATTCCCTTCATAGATGCAATTGGTAAAATCAGAATCTTAGCGATGTAGTATTGTAGGATGAAATTAAAAGTACCAAGAAATGCAGAGTCACCTATCTCATTATAATGATCTGCTAAAATAAAAATAGAGTTGCAGAAAAATTAAGATTACCAACCAAATTAACAAGCTCCCACTTCCCTCTTTCCGCTCAAAAGAACCCCCACCACCACCCCATAAAAAAAAAAGTTCACGCCTGTTTTGTAATTTCTAGCAATCAAACACTGAAAATTGATCATATAAACTCATGGATTTGTTGAGTAATGATCTAATATAGTAAAATAAGGTGCTCCCTAGATCCAGTCTAAACAGTTTCATCTTGCCCTGGCACAAAGTTAAAACAGGAGTTTAAATTAAACAGTACTTCAAATAAAACTACGCCCCAGAAGTAGAAATATATGTTTGATAGTGATAAGCTTCAGATTTGACAAGGATCAAAGTGGATCTCATATTACTTTGATATAGTATAGTCTTCAATATGCAATAGGCACTCAGGTAGTGAAGGAAAGACATTTCCCTTTATTAAAGCAAGTGAGAAAATTTAGTCATGATGCAAAAAGAACACAATCCTTTGGGATGGAGGTAACAAGTGTGCTAAGTGCTAAGCACTTTTGAGGACCCATGTTTGCCCAGAGGAGAAGACAACTGTACGTTACAAAAACCTAGCCATTTGATATGCTTCTTTTCTTTTCTTGTAAATTATTCTCCATCACTAGTATCCTTTAAATCCGAGCACAGCCTTTTCTTCCCTCATTTCACCACCACCTTTATACTCTCTCACTAATCTGTCAACCAGACATTTACTAGTCATTACTACTTACATTACCGCCTTAGATGTTGGAAGTTATTTTAACACCTTCAACACTAAGAGCTCCTTTCCCTGTCACAATAAAATCCTTACTACTCCCTCATAATCTTATTTGAGCATCTATGTTGCTATTCGTTCAGCCAAACCACTACTTCCATTACCACTTAACATACTGTGTATTGTTGCAACTCATTTTAACACCTTCAACACCATGTCAGTTGCTGGATCTAGATCAAGCTCTCCATTATATTGTTGGAGAAATTGATTCAAAAATTATCTTTCAGTTTAAGTTGTATGTTCTGCTTCAACCTAAAGTGATGCTAGGCTGCTTCATAGAGGTTCGCTTGACCACATCATGAGCATATTTAAGTTAAGTGCACGTCAAGCAATTAAGCCCCAATCTCTTTAACAATGAGTCATTCATATCTATTCCTTGTCAACAACAACAACAACAACCCAGTATAATCCCACTAGTGGGGTCTGGGGAGGGTAGTGTGTACGCAGACTTTACCCCTACCCTAGGGTAGAGAGGCTATTTCCAAATAGACCCTCGGCATCCTTCCCTCCAAGAACTCCCCACCTTGCTCTTGGGGTGACTCGAACTCACAACCTCTTGGTTGGAAGTGGAGGTTGCTCACCATCAGAGCAATCCTTCCTTGTCAATGACACATAATTCTGATAAATGAAAAAAACAATAGGCACCTTGTACTTAATAACTAACAATGGAATTTTTCACTATTACTCAGTATTAATTGAACTCAATAATCTTATTCATCTTCACTAAAATAACCTAACAATACAATGCTTTATGTGATACATCAAGATACATACCACATTATTCAGAACAGAAGACCGGATTAGCTAATAGATACTGTTGAGTTAGCACTCATAGGAGAAAAAGAGAACTCACTTATTAAACATGGAGAGAAAGAGAGAGTATGACAATGATTTCAGTTGGAGTAAGGTCTAGATGAAGTGGTTGATATTGCTAGCTGGAGCAATGCTAAAGAATGAAATTGACACTCAGATAGAAATTCCAAGGTGAGGGTGGTATTTGGAGGTAAACTGATAACCAGGAAGTACTGAAAGTTCTTTTGAAAATTGTCCCGGTGAAAAGGATCTTTACTTAAGCCGGGGTCTATCGGAAACAACATCTCTATCTTCAACGTAAGGGTATGGTTTGCGTACACTACCCTCCCCAGACCCCACTTGTGGGATTATACTGGGTTTGGTGTTGTTGTTATCCCAGTTGAAAAGGAGGGGGCAGTGTTTCTTATTCAATGTTGACAAAACACTATTGACATATAAACCAAGTTGGGGATTGGCATTTACGTAATCTTCTGAGTTTATATTGCTGAAATGGAATGTATTCCATCTGGGATAGAATTGTCCGCTTATGCAAGCAAGCAGTGGCGAAGCCACATAGTGTTGTACTGTGTATATAGGTAAAATATTACGTTTTAGAGGTATATAACACATATCGAACACCCTTTGTCGGAAATTTTTTTCACTTCTTTTAAATTTGAACACCCTTGGGAAAATTCCTAGTTTCGCCACTGCATGCAGGTCATGACAATATTTTTTAGGTAGTTTGCCAGATCAAACGAATATCAAAAACAAACAAATGTAGGCAATTGAGCATCCAATAGGTCCCATAACTTCAAGATATTAGCCACTAATAACACAGGTAGTTATTCAAGGAACGAATAAGTGCACAGGAGCCCTTTTGGTTTTACGAGATAGAGTTTAATGAAATTATCTAAAATGAACTGCCAATCCAACATTTTCAGCAGGCTCATTTGAATAAGAAAATTTAGGACCAAAAGAATATTTTTCATCATCAAAAGCAGGTAGGAGTTGAACTAATGTGGATACAAGACTAAGAAAGTAAAACCTGAAGTTCTTTCAATCAGCAGTTGATTCTGATTATGCATAGCCAAACTGCTTTTAAGTGGTCAACAAAATCTCATTCCTATGGTAAAACCACCATGAGCTACTGAGCCCACCAAGTCAAGGACATTCATTCAACAGAAGTCCGTAAACAATGTTGATTTCTAAGGGCTACTATCTTTCCTAAAAAGATCATGTTTGTTCACTACCTTTGGAAATTGAACATCCTGCTTTACAAAGAATGATTATTGAAGTGAGATTGAATACCCTTCCTAACAAAAGAAAAGGTATCGGGACAAAACTTACTTTTACATTCAGAGAGAGAGAGAGAGAGAGAATAGAGTTTTAAGAACTCTGGTACGAGGTATACCCTATCAACTCTTATTGTATTCAAAGACTCAAGAAAAATGAATACTAGGAACTCCAAGCATAAAAACGTTTATCTTTGACAAACTAAAATAGAAACAAGCGGAATCATTATGGTACAAATGGAGTATTCCTTTTTCTTTTGCGAACAATAAATTCTTAGGTTGGTGAAATAAAGAGGAAAAAATGCTTCATGCAGTTTTCTTCTGAGAAACAGCTCCAATTGCAGCATAATTGGTCCCTAAGAAATGCCTGTCAATATGCAGAAAATAGTAATGAATTCTCATTCTTTCCAATTCCAATGGGCAATATTATATTTGAGTCTTTTTGCACAACTTGCGGATTTGCCCTCTATGTTTAAAGCAACAAGCATCCTTTTTGGAGATCTTCCAAGGAAGCCAATTCCAAGTAGATCCTCCCTTCCCCTCGCTCGACCTTGGAATAATTCCACTATCATCAGGTCAATGAACTTGATACTGCCGTAAAACCACGAGTCCACGACAAAGCACAGAAACCTGACTTCTTTGTATTTGTTCTGATAACCAGGTTAGTGTATTAAAATGTCTAAATGTAAACGCAGCATAAGTGTTTATTTAACTAATTTGCTATTAGAATAATGCGCCTCTAAAGAAACAGACCGAAGCCGGAGTTTCCATCCTCCCCACCCAAAGGGAAAAGGAGAAAGAGACAAAGGTCATCAAGCCCCAGGAACGAACATCTTTTTTTTTTCTTTGATGACCGAGAAATCGGCCTGCATTGAAACCCAGGGATTCTGGGCCGGCCCTCTATCCTGCTCACCTGAATACCATGCTTAGTTCGCATGGCGCAGGGCTCAAACCCGTGACCTCAGTCACAAGCCCCTCAACCTTTGCCACTTGAACTAAGCCCTGGGGCCCAGAAAAGAACATACTACTTTGAAGCAATTGTTTGACTACCAACAGATAATTACCCAGAGCTTAGTAACCGAACAATCATGTAAAACTATCAATGTCATAGTTCCTCAAGGGGGGCACTAATTATAACTCTCAATTAGAAAATTTTCCATCACTTTTGCTGCTTACAACCTTGTTCCCAAGAAAATGATATCTCTATCAACAATCATGAACACAAAATAACATGTACGAAGCTTGATGAACAAGAAAGAAAGGTAGAAAGAGAGCCTCGGAAGAAAGATGCAAATTCTTACTGCTGTCACTTTCTTATATATTTGAGCAGCATTGAAACACTCAACATAAGGATACTCAAAAGTCACGAGCTCCAGCAGGCACATACCAAAGGCATAGATATCTACTAGCTCATCGTATTCCTCCTCATAAAGTTCTGGCGCCATGAATTCTGGTGTACCTGAGATCAAATATAGAATTGCATTTTTCAGCAACCATCTAAACCACCAATGAACAGCCAATTGAAACCTAGAGGACAGTTCCAAAATCAGAAAAGCTGAGGACCTCACCAATGACACTATGAGCAGCGCGAGCCTTACAAAGAATTGCAGCAAGTCCCAAGTCACCAATCTTAACCTCCCCTTGGTTACCATTGATAAAAATGTTATCACACTTAAGATCACGGTGAATAATTGGAGGGTCATGACCATGTAGATATGAGAGACCCTCCAATATTTGCCTAGACCAATTCTTGAGTGCTCTAACATCAACCTTCTTATGTTTCTTACGGTACCTACACGAGCATACAGAAAGACCAGTCCACAATTCAATATTCAAAAATATGGGTAGTGGGTTGAGCAAAGGAAGAAAAACCACATAGCCATACTGTCTTAAAGTCCCGGAAGTGAAAATTTCAGTAATGATGTTGATATTCTCATTTTTCGAGTCAACCCACGAGTTATAGAATTTGATGATATTCTTGTGTTTGAGGGTTTTAAGCAAATGAACTTCAGAATATAGACGCTCCAAGTCCACAGAATTCCTCAAGAGATCAGCCACTTTAACTTGATTCCAAGCAACTTCAATCCCCTCTAATTCATCAAATGCTCGATAACTAGATTTCCAATAGTAAGTCAAGAATGGACAAAAAATCGCACTTGACAAAATTCATTAATGGGGAAAAAAGCAGTAAAACAATACTCCCTTCATCTCAATTTATATGACAAAATTTCCAGAATATCTGTAAGTATTCCATTAACAATATTATTATACAATTTTCACAAATATTAAGAATTCAAAGCCACTTAACTATTCAAAGTTATTACCTTTTATGTAATGTTTTCTCTATCAATCTAACTTTTAAACTATTACTTTTATTTTTCTTCCGTTATTACTAGTATAATATACTCTCTGTTCCATTTTATGTGGCATTATTTCCTTATTAGTTTGTTTCAAAAAGAATGACATTTTCCTATATTTTCGAAACAATTTAACTTTAAGCTTCTTATTTCACCTTTAATGACATGCTTTTATGGCCACAAAACTCCATGGCACGTTTAAGACCACAAGTTCCAAAAGTATTTTTTTCCTTCTTAAACTCCGTGCTCAATCAAACCCTACCACATAAATTGAAAAGGAGGGAGTACTAGTCAAATTAACATCTTATATTCCTTATCCTGCCAAACACCATCAATCAAAACGAAACAGCGGCAGAGCATCACACACGTAAAGACATTATAAAGGATACACTTTCTTGAAAGCTCCTTTTCCCAAAACCTCTTTGTACTGCAAAGAACAAGACAATCAACTTCAAAGTCACAATGCAGAATCAAATATATGTATATAACTAATGAAATGGACACCAAACCCGAACTAAAAATTAGCCAGATATGTGGCAACAGTAATAGCAAAGCAGTCACAAAGAGTAGAACAGCGGGAAATACAAAAAGAAATACTCCCCGTCCCAATTTATTTGATTCTCTTTCCATTTGGGACGTTAAAAGAAAAGTTTCACACTATTCTATTATGTACAATTTTAACTAACTTCTAGCTTTCTAATTTATTAAATTTTATCTATAACATGATAAATTCTTTCCTTATCAAACTAACTTTTTTTATAACGGTGGTGTCTGGACCAGCTTGTCCGTATCTCGACTATTTCCTTACCAAACTAACTTTTCGATCATTACTTCAATATTGTTATATTTTTCACACTATCACTCAGTATATTATTTCAGTCAAATCATATAAGATGAGCAGAATATGGTCACTAAGCAGTTTGAAAAATGTACTCCAAACACAGCATAATGTACAACGAAGCCAAAAGTTAATTAATTAATGTAAAAATGAGAAACTGACCCGGCCGTAACGACCAGAAGGATCGAGCTCGACAAACTCCGGTTCAGATTCAGAATCGTCCGGTTCCTGTTCGGACGCAGAATCCTGCTGCATTCTCTTCGTTCAATGAATTGAATTATGAGAAGAAAAAATAATTTAAAAACCTAGCTCTTCACGAACAACAACAATTGGATTTAGATCAATTTGAAATTGCGAATTAACAATCTAATCGTACACTTTTGTCTCAGAATTGAGATATGAGCAGTTTCAGGGGATGTGTAAATTGACAGAAGACTCTGTTACACCAAACTAGTAGTTACATACAACACATATGTAAGCATAAGGATCAGCAGAAACGTATAAAAGAAATGAAGCGTGCCAAGGGAAAAAAGCAGAGTTCGAGTTGAAGGCGTCTGGGTGGGGTCATGGGCAGATGTGTGCATGCGAACGAACCAGACTCAAACCCGACTCCGAAATTTGGGACGCATCTTGGATCCCAGGACCCGGATACGAGTGATCACTTAATTTTAATTATAAATTATTTAACTTTTTTTTAAAAATAAAATTTGTATATTTAAGAGTTGTACAAAAAGCAATATATTATCTAATCGTTTAATATCTAACAAAAGTTTGAAAAATACAAAGTTGTCAACTAAAAAATTTTCTACATATATAATGTGGCATAAAATAGAGTTAGGAAGAGTATTGTTTCAAGAGATGAACGGTCCTTTGTGTAGGGATTTAAATATTTTTTAAAAAATTGGGATAACATTACATATTTGTTTACGATTACATAATATAGAAAATGTATAAACAATTGACATATTAAAGGGCTGCTTAGTGTAATTGATCCTTTAATTTAATGGGATTGAATAGTCAACTCTGGACAAAATGGAAAGTCAACTAGTTTGGCACATGGCGACACCTAGTTAGCTGGGAATCCTTTTTATTGTTTCCTTTTGTTTTTTAGTTCCGCTCAACTATACCTCTTTTTTCTTTTTTATTAACAGTTTGCTTCTAACCTACGTGGCAATCCTAGATATAACTATAATACAAGGCTAACTAGTTAAAAAATTTCTTATTATCTTTTCTTTTTTGCCTTTTCCTTTGAGTGAAGAAGATGATGAGAATAGAAACAAGCATGCCCCAGAAACACCTTTTGGAAACAAAGTAAATTCAAAGGTAGAGTTAGAATTCTTTTTTTCTATTTCTTTCTCTATTCACTTAAAACATGCACCAATGATGGTGTGTCTGTTTGTTTACCCTTAAAAGTGGATAACAATTAACCTTATAATGTGATTTTAAGGATATATGATCTTACCTAATACCAATTGATAAACGTAAAGATAAGTGGTACGAATTGACAATAATATAAAGTAAATCAGCGTTTGGACAGAGCCCTTGAGCTCGGACACTCTCGAACTAGTTATGCAAGAATAGTTAAAGGCACAATAAGTTGGTGAACAAGAATGTAAGCTAAGAAATATTATATTGCTCTGATATTCGTGAATGTAAGGTGCTTACAAATGATGGGGACTCCCCTTTATATACTAGAGAAATTCTAATTATGGTACAATTCTAATTACAGAAGTAAATCCCATGATTGATACAAATAACCGCCCTTGATTTGATTTGTTCCGGAATTTTCGCCGTGATCTTCGACTGGCTACGAATATCTCGCCTTTCCGTTATTGCACTTCACTCGAAGTCGGCCATACTTAGTCTCGATTGCTGCTGGCCTCGATCTCGACGAGCACCTCGATTCTTGAACTCGACACCTCATCTTCGTGATCTGGCCTGATCCATTACGAGGCTGACCCTCGACATGATCCCATGTTCTCGATTAAATAGCAAAATCGGGCAAGCCCGATTTTAACCATATACATGATGCTTAGCTTAAAGCATATATATTTCTATGTATATCGCCTCATATTTTACTTTTGTTTCGTGAATTTGGGATGTTAAATGCTATGATTTATATTAATTTGAAGTGTTTTTATGTGTAGGAATGATTTGGGAGCAATTGGGGGCGAAACGCGCAAAATTAGAGCCAAAATGAACAAAACCGGACGAATTAGGCATTTGGGCGCCACAGGCAGTGCCTGGCGCCACCTGTGGCGCTGGAAATAGTAGTTGAATTTTGGGCAGCGCCCTGGTTGGTGCCTAGCGTTGTCCAGGGTGCCGTTGACGTGATTTTGTCCTATTTTGCCCGGGACACAATTTATTCGGCCATATACCTACCCAACATGTATAAAAGAAAGACTAAGCCTATTTTTGAGGGGGAGACGCCATTTTGGAGGAAAAATACACACAAGAAACATCCGGGAGCAAGAACATCTCAGATTTCTTCATCTTTTCTAGTATTTTCAATTATTCAAAACTTATGCAATTGTTTGCTAGTATCATGAGTGGCTAAAAACCCATTATTCTGGGGTTGTGATTTAGCCATGAATATTGTTGTTTAACGTTGACTTAACCTCGATTATAATTCACTAATATATGGTTGTTTCTTAAATTCTGTGATTAATTGCTTAATTGTCTGGCCAACAGTTAGGTTCTATTTACTATCTATGCTATGCTTGGGAAAGCCGTGTTTAGATTAGAGAAGAATTGAAGAGAGCATGATCTTAACCCTTAGGAGGGCGGATTTGTGATTAGGATAGGGATATACCTAGTCACCGTGCTTAATTAAATATTGTAATCTTAATACGTTCTTAATAGATTGATCCATAAGAATATAGGCGTTAATCTATTTTGAATAGGCGAGTAGTACTTCGGGAGAAGGCTTTGAGAGCAATTATCGATTAATTAGCAACCATGAGTGAATTGTATGAGAGGGAGAGTTAACTAGAACACAATAGGATTGGTGAATTGATCACAACCCTGAAATATTTGTCTCTATTGAATACATAACAATTATTCTACTGCTTGATAATTTAGTCATTACTTAGAATTGTAGTTTAGTATAATTAAACTCTTGAACGCGAATTTAGCTTGACTGATTAACAATATTGGTGAGTTAGTGAGTAGTTGATATAAGTCTCTGTGGATTCGACACTCGACTTATCATTTTATTACTTGTATGACCACATATACTTGCATGTGCGTTTGGGAGCAACAAGTTTTTGGCGCCGTTGCCGGGGACTTAAAAATTAGCTACTTTGCTGACTTAAGCTTTTATTAGTTATTTGTTCAAGTTTTAATTTTCAGTTTACCTTATTTGTGTTAATACAGGCTCTTCTCTTGAATGCGGAGGAGTAGAAGCGCAAACAATCTCCTTCCTCTTGATCCTGAAATTGAACGGACACTTCACAGAGGGAGGAGGGAGGTCGAAGCTAGAACTAGAATAGAAAGAGTGTTGGACATCTTAGTTCAACCACAGCGAATAGAGATGGCGGGTAATGCAAAATGTGCAGTGATAGAAGACACAAGGCCCAATATTGCTAATATGACTCAGGCTATTGTGAAGCCTGAGATCACAGGGCATTTTGAACTCAAACAGTACATGGTACAACTGATTCAATCCACAGGGCAATATGTGGGTCTATCTCATGAAGATTTGCAGAGGCACTGTCACGACCCAGACCCCGATCCGGTCGTGATGGCGCCTCTCGTGAAGACAAGGCCAGCCAACCAACCCATTTCGCCTTTTCAGAATAGTTAATATTAATAAACAGTTCTAGCATAATTAAATAACCACAGTTTAAACAAAAGTTTTCTTTATTAAGTGCAGAATACAACCCAAACACAACCCAAACCGGGGTATCACAAGTCACGAGCATCTATTAAAGTATAAATACAACTGCAAGGCCTGAAACATATAAAATAGGACTGGTAAACAAAAGGAAGAAATGCGGTGCTGCGAACGCTGGCAGTCACCTCACTAAACTCCGATAACTTAGCCTTCGACCAGCTCAAAACCCGCTACCGGGTGAACAAATACATGCATCTGCACACGAGGTGCAGGGAGTAAAGTGAGTACTCCAACTCAGTGAGTAATAAAGGTAAATAATAACTGAGCAGTAAGAAATCACAAAAAGTGCATCAACATGCTGTATAGAGTAGTCTAAAACCCTTTGAATAAAAGCAGTGAAACTGTGAAATCTTTGAAAAAACATCTTAGCTCAGTTTAAACCTCTTTTAAAAATGACTTTTTCAACGGTTACGCAAATGAGTGCAAAACAATAGTGCAGATAAACACGGAAATCCGCCCCTCTGGCACAAAACTCAATTAATAGATAATGCCAGACGATCAGATAGATATCACATGAAGTAGCACAAACAACAGATAATGGCAGACAAATGAAATAAAGTAAACACATAAAACAGTGCCAGCACCGCTGCGGCGTGCAACCCGGTCCATATATCGCTGCGGCGTGCAGCCCGATCCATATATTTCGTCGACAGCGCTCACAAGAGGTGTGCAGACTCTGGGAAGGGCCCCTTACGGCTCAAGCGCAATATCAAACCATCTCGTGGCATCAAATCTAGGCCCTTGGCCTCATATCAATATCAGTATAACATTGCTGCGGCGCGCATCCCGATCCCATAGTATCCTCACATCTGGATCTTAGCCGTACTCAGTCTAGAAATCATATAAGCCCCTCGGGCATTAGTAAAACAGTAGTTCTCAGCCCAAAACATCATTTAATATATCATTTTAGTTTCAAAACCGAGTAAAAGTGACTGAGTTGTAAAACAATGGAAAACAGTACGACTGAGTTCAAGTAGTAGGTCAAAATAGTAAAGAAATAGTGATAAAAATCCCTGGAGGGTTCAAATAGTTGGCTCGAAGCCCAAAGATGGCAATCAGTCCAAATAATGATGATAACAAATAAGTTTCAATCAAATACGCGGTAAAAGCATCAATCAGAACGGACCAAGTCACAATCCCTAATAGTAAACGACCCCACGCTCATCATCAAGTGCGTGTCTCATCTCAATATAGCACTACGATGTGCGAATCCGGGGTTTCAAACCCATAGGATATCATTTACAATCATTACTCACCTCGAACCGGCGAAATCTCTAGCTCGCGACGCCTTTGCCCCTCAAATCGGCCTCCACGCGTGTCGAATCTATCCAAAATCAGAACGAATGCATCACAATATGCTAAGGGAACAAAGCCCAAGCGAAAACAATCAATAACGGGCACAAATTCCGAAATTACCAAAACCCGAGCCCCGGACCCTTTTCTCGAAACTCAGAAATTTTCACATCATTAGATTTCTTATCACCCCACAAGTTCATACCTATCAAAAGTTCTCAAATCCGACCTCATATGGTCACTCAAATTCTAAAAATTTACTCTCCAATTTCAAGCCCTAATTTCCCAACTCTTCCTCTAATTTCCACAAATTTTCATGATTAAGCAATGATATAATCACCATAAACACAAGGTATAAGGCCCAAGTAGCTTACCTCTGCGGATACACTTGATCCCCTCTTGAAATCACAGCTTGGAGCTCCAAAATCGCACAAAATGATGAGCAAATGAC